GATCGAATCGAAAGATTTTAAGTTTTGAGAAAGAAAGGGTAACAACTGACTTGGTGACATGGTGTTGACGATGTCCAAGAGAATCGGTAACCCCCTCCCTTCCTCACAAAGTTCTCCCAATCTCCGGCGTCCTCCCGTGGCGGAACAGCACATATTCAAAACCTTGCAGAGGCTATTGCACACCACAGGGTTGCGCATCGCGGCAATCTCGCGGAACCAGATGGGGAAGAACCGCGCCCAGACGGCGGCCTTGTGCGCCTCTCCGGCCAAGGCGACATTGCCCAGCACCTGAAGCACCGTCTGTAATATCTCAGCCGAAATCTGGTGGCCGCTGAGCAAGACTGAGGCGATCCGATCGAGGCCGCCGGCCTCGAGGAAGGCGTCCTGGTTAGGTCGCTCGCAGCAGAGGTTGACGGTGATGCAGAGGCGGGGGAGGAGGAGGAGAGCGGGGGAGGATGAGAGGCAGCGGAGGACGGCGGGGAGGGCACCTTCGGCGGCCAGGCGGGCGCGGCCGTGTCGGCTCCTCGAAGCGTCCAGGAGGGCTAGCACGACTTCCATACGATCGTCGGCGGCCGGGTTCTCCATGGCGTATCCTCTGCTTCGCTTGCGCTTCCAACTCGTTATGCTATCGTCACTCAGGTTCGAGTCCAAAGGGCGAGACTTGTCGAGATGGCAACATAATGCCAAGGTTTTTATAGTCGATAGGGAAAGAAGTATTTTTGCATCTTCACCCTCGTAGGATTTAATATTCTTATAGATTCTCCAATTAATCTTATTCTTTCTCATATTAATTCCTAAATCTTCACCTCAATAGCAATTAAAGTTTCATTAAATATTAATCTGATTTAATAATATTACGTCCTCAGAAATTATTTTTTTGATTAAATTTTGAGCTATTTGCATATCAAACCCGAAATGATTTGATCTGATATAGCAAAGGTATTTGAATTTAGATGTATTAACCTTTACTCACCTTGTTATCTTCAAGATCCATTTTGAATTTTGATTTCTTGATTCCTAGTCTTTGCTATTAGCATATAGTCTAGATTAGCATATTAATTTATTTTTGGTTTAATTAAATATTTCATGATCAAAAGAATAAATTTTATTTGATCATATATTAATCAATTTATTTTTTGTGATAAATAAAATCAAAATAGAATTTTTTTTATATATTTTAAAAATTTTATCATGTTTAAAAAATTCAGGAATAATTTGACATTATATGTCCCATTTCTCATCTCCCTGACACTTCTTATTAAGATTTAATACGCATGAAAGAAAAAGAAAATTATATGATTGAAAATTAAAAAAAAATAACAATGGTATGAATATATAAAATATGGATGCATTGAACAACAAAAATATCATTTATTATGTTAAAGATATCTTTGAAATTAAAATATTAAGTAAAATAAATAAATTTAAATCAAGCTAAAATAGAACAAATCTATCCTACCGATGATGACCTCGAGTTTTTCTCGAAGAATTAAAAGTACTATCATCAGATTTTTTTCAAAGACTTTTATATTATATTAATAGGTCCTTACCGATGGTAAATATTTATTTTGATTGAACACAAAATATTATATAGTAATGATACATCACTATAAGGAGTCTGTGCCGATATATACAATTATTTTTTAATTCTTAATAATTGATATTATTATTAGAATTGATAAATATTTTATAATTATTATAGTAAATATCCTAGAAATCCTAATAAAAGGAGTTTTGGAGAAAATCTTAGAAATTAAGGTTTGGTTCTTTTATAAATATCTCATGTATCTTTTAAGTTTTGGTGTAAAAGAATCAAATATAAGGAATACTTTTAGTGTTCTTAGGTTTAGAGAGATGCTCTCTAGAATTTCTAAATTAGGGTGTTTAGAGAGATGCTCTGTAGAGTGTTTAGAGAGATGCTCTCTAGAGTTTTAAAAACAGTGAGAAAAAAATATAAATTCTTTAAAGTTGATGTGAGATTATATGTAATAAAATTTATGCTTAAATGGAGATAACTTAAGATCTTGTAATTGATCTCACATAGTAAAATATTTTATCATCTTTACAAAAACATGTTTGAGATACACATTATCATTCCTTATCTCCATCGACACTTGTACCTAATCTTCCTAGAAAGAAGATTTAAGACCAATAAAATCAAAAAATATATACATGATTGAAAACATGAAAAAAGAGATATGAATATATAATATATTGATAGATTGGACAACAAAAATATCATTTATTATGATAAAAATATCTTTTGATATTAAAATATTGAGTAAAATAAATAAATTCATATCAAATAAAGTGACTCAAAACAAATATACTCTATCCCATAACCTCTAAGTTTGGATCAAATTGAGCTCAAGTATTAAGGGGTGTACTATCATAAGATAATTATTGTGATGGAGAACCCAAAATAGTATATAAGTAATGAGATAATATTATAAGGAGTCTGTTTCGATCTATACAATTCATTCTTCAAATTTTTAGTAATAAATTTTATTATTTATTAAGATTCATACAGCAGGTGTCTCAGCAGAATAATGAATCTTAATAAGATAAATCTTTGTGAAGAAAGAAATTTTAAAAATTAAGGTTTGATTTTTTTTTAATATGACATATAGCTTTATATTTTCATGAAAAATAAGAGGTGATGAATAGTTTTGGTGTTTCTTTTTATTATCTTCTTTTTTCTTATGCAGTCCCACGAACCTCCATAGATCAATAATCATTAAGGTTTCGACCCTATACTTATAATGTATTACATTATATTATTATTGAATAGCTTTTCAGGAGGACAGCGTTGTTAAACTCTTTTGCATTGATGTTGCTTGTGTTCTTCGTGTCCATCTATATCGCAAAGCAGGCCAGAAGCTGGTGTAGTAGTAGAAGAATCGGGAGGTGAGGAAGAAAAGAAATATCATTACAGGTCAAGTTATCATAATCGATCACACTTATGTCGATTCCATTATAGCTAGCAAACGAAGTAGAGAGGATAAATAGAAAAAATATATATATATATTCTTTTAGTTTCACACGAGAAGAAGATATGTAAGAGGATGTATTTTGAATGAAGATAATAATAACTCAATTATCTTATAATTGAACTGAAAATTTTAATTTTTGCATGGATAGAGGGGGAGTTATCAAATAATATTAAATCTTACATTGATTGTTTTTATATTTTTTATTATTATTAATCTTTGGATGGATTTCCTTTTAACTTATTTTTTCTTCTCTCTCCTCTTAATATTATTATGATATTGATCTATAATTTTAATTTAACATATTAAATTAAATTTTACATTTTAACCTTTTCAATATCTTCATCTTTATCTCTCTTGTCCATTGTTAAATAATTTAATATAAAGTTTTCATCTGACTCTTTCGTTTATATTTTTTATACTATACGTCAGATCTCATTTTTCAGCTTTGTCTCCTTTTTTTTGTTAAGCTTTTCTTTTATAGTTCCTCTCTTTTTCTTTAGTCCCCCCCAAAAAAAATCTGATAGAACATTCAAAAATTATTTATTATTCTTTGCATTAGATCGGTCCTATGGTGAATCGGTCATTAATCGATCTATATAGTGAAGCAGTCTAATTATAATATTTAAAATACTATAACTAACACAGAAACTAAATTATTATATTTTTATTTCTAAAACAATAACAATATATATCTATTTAAAACCCCACTAAGGGTGATACGTTTATTTTAAATTACTATTTCTCAATTATAATATTTTTTTATAAATTTACACTGTTATTCTATATGTGTGAGACAAACATTGTGCCCTATTTAAAAATATTATATTTAATAAAAAAAAAGTCAAAAATCAATAATTTTTATTTTCAAACCAACAAGAATACATACATATTTAACCTTTAATAAGTATAGTAAAATCAATAATTAATATATATGCTAATTTAAATTAATTAAGACTAAGTTACAATATTTTTAATGGGGTTACAGTGATTTAAGTTTGATAATAGAAAAATATTGTAAATCTATGCAAACCCACCCGGATTGGTTTCTGACATAAACTAAAAAAAATTAAAGCTATCAGTGTATTTTTATTATTTTTAAAAAGTAAGTAATTTTTCGGTATTTTAAAAACGAGGGATATTATCTTTTTTTAGAAAAAAAAACTAAAATTTGGGGTGCGTACAAATCACCGCGCTTCGGTTGTTGGCACGTCCAACTTTGATTTTAAACCCTCGATTAAAGAGAATGTACCAACAAAAGGCCCGCGGCAACTTCTGAGAGGACCAAAGACTCATCGTACCCATCGGCACACCCACCCGTACGCCTACCTACTATATGGTCGAGGTATTGGTGGGACCCCAACAACCCCAGCCAGTCACCTCGACGCTGAGAACGGGCCCCCGTCTCCCCCCCAACAGACACTAGCAGCGCTTTGCGTGCACCGAAAACCATGACACGAGGCCTGTCCGAAAGTCACGTGCATCTGGAAAAAAAATTAAAATAAGAAACTCTAAGTCACGTGCCACCATCTCCGCTGCAAGCATTCCAAGATATTCTCCCACCTTCCCCCTCGTTTCTCCACGCTCCTCTCTCTCTCCCTCTACCTACCACCGTCCCGTTATCAGCACATGTATCGGGCTACAGCTACCTGAAACCTTATATATCTGATCTCACAGTGTAATGCTGTATGACTAAACAATGAACTATTATTTATTATACACAACACTCTATTGTAGCTTTCTTCATTTAATTTTAACTTTTAGAATTTTCAATTACTTTTTTCATTAAAAAACTTTTAATCTAACAAAAATTGACCAAGGTAGACTTGAGTTTCATCCAACTTTGACAGTCGTGCATGCATCTGATTTATACCTTTGTGATCCGTGCTGGTGGATACGGACGACTGGATTTCTATCTCGCTCTACTCTGGTATATGAACGGCTCGATCTTTCGGACTATAACATCCACAATTTTGGACAAAGCTGCCGTATTCACGAGTGACGATATCAACTGCCTTGTAATTGCCACACAGAGACACTGCCCTCACTCTGTTGTCGCTGCCCTCTCTTCGTTTCATTGTATCCGCAGATCTCGATCTCCTTGGACGGACGGGTGCCGATAGGCTCGATCGATGGGTCTGATGACGGAGAACGGATCCACGGCAGCCGGGCAAGAGGCTTCCAGCCTCAAATTCCTCATCTACGGCCGCACCGGCTGGATCGGCGGCCTGCTGGGCCGCCTCTGCTCCGAGCGCGGCATCCCATTCGCCTATGGCGCTGGTCGCCTCGAGAACCGCGCTCAGCTCGAGGCCGACATCGCCTCGGCTGCCCCCACCCACGTCTTCAACGCTGCCGGCGTCACCGGCCGCCCCAACGTCGACTGGTGCGAGACCCACCGCGTGGAGACCATCCGGGCCAATGTCGTCGGCACCCTCACCCTCGCCGACGTCTGCCGCGAGCGCGGACTCATCCTTGTCAACTATGCCACCGGGTGCATCTTCGAGTACGACGGCGGCCACCCGCTTGGCTCCGGCATAGGGTTCAAGGAGGAGGACACGCCAAACTTCGTCGGGTCCTTCTATTCCAAGACCAAGGCCATGGTACAGTGATGATGCCTTCTTTTTCTTATGCTACATACCACCTTGTCGGCGTTGATTTGGTTGTCTCCATAAGGACGCGTTAGATTTGTGGGAGATTTTGTTGAGCAATTGAATTGAGGCGACGTAAGATCGTACGATGGACATTGTTAGCTTGCAGGTGACTGAAAGGTGCTCTCTAAGGTGCATATTAAGGATGAAAATGGCGGTAGATGGTATATGGAAGGCTGGTGCCATTGGAGATTGGATCGGACCATATGGTTATTTGGAATTGCCATGCTTGTGCTACAATTACTGAATGCGTTTTAAGAATTGCTTGGGAGTAATGAGTTGATATGTTTGTGGTGTCGTTGGAGATCTGTTGAAACAATATTATTAGAATTACCATTATTGCACTATAGATTTGGCAGCTCTGAAAATGATTACAAAAATATTGTTTCGGAGTGATGCATCGGCATGCTTGTTTTTGGAGATCTCTAGATAGTCTTAGGCATAACCTAAAGTGTCACAACAGAAGACATTATGCCCATTACATCGATACAAGGAGGACTAAAAATGAACTTTTTGCTATTTTCTCGGATCTAGGGTCGTTGAATACCTCAGATTTGGATCCACTTGTCATTATTTCAGTCGCTTTCAAAATCTTGACAACCAAACTAGGGCTAGTCTGTGTTTGTTCTTTCTATATATTTTTCATAATGCTTGATGGAGGTAAATTTGGTATATGTCACATTCTTTCATTCAATTATTTCCATAGACACATGATTGCTTATTGTTTCTGTCTTGTCTGTTGCGTAATTTTCCATATCAAGTCGATCTACATCTTCATTAATGGGATTTAATATAGTTCTAATTTTCATGATCATTTGTAGCCCTAAAAAGTCATTTCTTGTTCATGGTATAAAATACTACACGAACTGGTGCATATTAACCCATATTTATTGGTTTGCTTGCACCCTAGTGGACCATAAACTTTAATAATGCTTGCTAGGTATGCAGTTCAATTTATTTTTTCATTAGTTTATTTAGTGATACTCGGTAGGTATGCCTTTCGAAATCTTGGTATCATACTAATCCAACAGATTGTTGAAAATCTGTCTTGGACGGACCAGTAATTAAAACCTAAGTCCAGACAAACCTTTACATGAGATGAAATGCTAATAAACAATACTCTCTACCTTCAGACAGGTTCGTCGGTTTGGTGGATTGCCTCATCACTTTAAGATTGAAGATAAATTTCTATGCTTTTTGGGGCATGGGGACTGACATAGAAGTAACATATAATGAAGCACATGCACCATTCTCATAGATCGATACATTTTAATACTTCAAGTGCATTTTAATACTTAATGACGTAGGCTGAGCCCCTCCTGAGATTTCATTCCCATGGTGTCCTTTCCCTGCCTCTCATACCTGTTATCTAATGGTTTCTCATTTTTCTACTTCCAAGACTACTTTTATTGTTATTAGCAGTTACAACTTTGAGTCCTTACTAGTGTTTTATCTTATTTCATAATTGTATTCTCTAACTTATAACTTTAGATGGTCTCTGGTACATTAGAGATTGATATATTCATTTTCTAAGCACGCGCTTTAGAATGGCATGTTTTTTATACATAAGATGAAAATACAGATTACCTGCATGGGGTGAGTCCTATTCCCATTTGCATATGTTTCATTTATGCTTGATTGTGACATTAGCACCCCAGTATTACCGTTGGTGATAGGAGTAACAAATTGGAAGGACTTAGATTTGAGATGCACACAGACTGCTTAATGCAGACCTTCAACTCTATCCTACCTTAGATGAAGATGGTTCAATTGAAGCTGCTTGGAGGATAGAGCGACATCTTCCATAACAAGGCTGACCATTGTGGTACAAGTTTAGTTCCTCCATCTATATTTTAAACAGGGTGATGCATTTACCTTCGTGTTCTATATTTATTGCAATGTCTGTTTTACTCTGTTTTCTAATACCACCATGTAAACCGTGTTTATAGTTAATCCTATTGCTTTCTTATGGTGAGTTATGCATCCTTGATAGGTTGAAGAGCTGCTGACGAACTATGAGAATGTTTGCACCCTCCGTGTTAGGATGCCCATCTCATCAGATCTAACGAACCCTCGCAACTTCATCACTAAGATCACCCGCTATGAGAAGGTCGTTAACATACCCAACTCCATGACCATCTTGGATGAACTTTTGCCTATATCAATTGAAATGGCAAAGAGGAACCTCACTGGAATATGGAACTTCACCAATCCTGGCGCCGTCAGCCATAATGAGATCTTGGAGATGTATCGAGACTACATTGATCCAAATTTTACATGGAAGAATTTCACACTCGAGGAGCAAGCACAGGTGATAGTTGCCCCTAGGAGCAACAATGAACTGGATACTGCCAAGTTGAAGAAGGAATTTCCAGAGCTTCTGCCGATCAAGGAGTCGCTGATCAAGCATGTCTTCGAGCCAAATCAGAAGACATCCACGACCTAACAAGTTGGCCTCTGGGTTTTCTTTCTTCTTGCTTCAATAAGGTAGTTTTCTTCGAATTGTTCAGTCATGTATTCATCGATGATAAGTGTGCAACTGATATCTAATTATGGTTCTGGTAGCCCTTGTTATGATCAGACTGGGAATGAAGAAGAAAAGTGTAGTGCAGAACTGTCCTGTTGCTGTTTATGTATCGTAGAAACCGGCAGGGGCTTTGAAAGCTATGGGCTTGTTGATGATGGAAACTGACTCAGAAATAAATAGGGTTTCAGAGATTCATGAGTTACTATTCATCTTTTTGTTACCAAAAATAGGAACTATCCGTCCAAAGAAATTCTGGAATTTTCTTTAAAATTTTAAAAATCTAAATAACAGGATTCCATTTTAGACCTTCTCATACTGCAGCAAGTTTGTTCTAGTAGTCATGACTACCAGTGGAGAAGATTGTGACCCAAAAATTCTTCATCATGAACAGATGAATACAAGTTATTTAGATTGGAAAATACAACCAAGAATTAATGTTCTTCCTTTACGCGGAGATGCAAAAAGGACTAAAAAATAGGTCTCTTTTTTGGAAACTATTCTAAAAAATATAAAAAAATAAAAATCATCACTCCACGGATCCAAAAAATACTCTCTAAGATTTTTAGACTTGTCTATAAAACATGTCGAGATAGCGATATAAGAAATATTCACCTCTATCAAAACTCGACATATGTCCTTAAAAAAAAGGATAAAAGTTAAATCATCATATGTTAATAAAAAATATATTCTCTGATTACTTTCTAATTGTGAGGATTGCTTCCCCGCCCGTAAGCAATTAGTGAGGACTTGCTTTAAAAGGTTATCACGGGCATGATAATTGAGTTCCGACTCTCTCTTCCCTTAGTCAGCTAACTCATCTTGGGAGTATAGCCAGCTTACCGTCCCATAATTTAAATAGAAATGGAATTACTGCAGTCCAAGCTTCGATAGTAGAAATAGCTTTTCTTCTTTTAGACATCATATCCAAATCCCTCTCTTATCTATTTATATCCTCTGCTTGCAAATAAATCCTCTTTCAGTTCCACGCTTCCTAATGCCAACCATTTCATCACCTGACAAGTAAGATGGTCCAGTCTGTAGTTGGAGGTAGATGTCAATCAGTTCTTGTTCTCATCTCGTTACTCCTTTCCAAATTTTGTGGCGTGAGATGGGAGTCGAGGAAGTATACCTTTGCAGGCGAGTGGGCCTTTCCATGGCTGGTTTTTTCGGCTTCCCACGCTAAGGAGAGCATAAACCAGCTCTTCTCCTTATTCTGTGGCTTGTTAAAGGTGGCAAGGAACTTGCTTCTTACGCATGCAGGTCCGGATGGACTTTCAATTCCAACCACTGCAGCAGAGCTGAGTGATAGCAGAAAGATGAACTGCCAACCAGTAGTGCAGCAGAGCTGAGTTAAATAGAGGAAGAGAAAGCAGCAAATCATACATATTTGTTTATTGAGGATTCCCTGTTGATTAAAGAAGAAAAACCTACTAGTGTAGTTCAAGCTTTCGTATCTCTACTTATTCTTCTCTGCGTTATCAAGTCAAGCTAAGGCACGCCACGCCACGCCTCCTACCAAAAGCAAGCTATTTATAAGATTCTATTGTGACCGCGAAGCTGATGAATCATGAATGACAGCACCACCTATTAAATCGACATCTTTTCCCGTTCGTGATCATCCCTTAGTATTAGGATTCCCATGTAGATCGATCAGCTTAGGTGGCTGTCCCTGTATCATTATTTTTCTTGTGGTGTTTGTCATACAAATGAATCGCTCTATGATAAGGCAGCCGATCACTTCGTCCAACCCGTGACGACCAAATCCTGTGAGATTGCTCATGCTTCCCCTCCCATGCCGTCCTTGAAGACTGTGGGTTGATTAAGAAAGCCTGTGATCGAAGGCAATCTCTCCAACCAAACTTGTATGGCGAAGTGACAAAGCGCTGTCCCTACGCCATTCAATTAGCAACCAGTTTGCTTTACTCGGTCACGAGACATTAATAGAAGGAAGCCCAGTTTGCATCGAGAAAGAGATACTGAACTAAATAGTTTATGTGTACGTAGACGTGTATATTTATATGTACGTGAGACGATCACGGTGCTCTCATGACAGATAGACATGGGAATCGTGCATCTACATAGGGTTGGAGGGGGTGATCTTGATGACGAGGCCGGGGAAGACGTCGTCGGGGTCGTGGATGTGCGGGTTGCGCTCGACGATGAACGGGTCGCGGCACTTGTCGCTGATGGTGTGCAGCGTCTCCCCCTCGCCCACCACGTAGATCTCGTCGCAGGGGCGGGCGACGAGCCGCCCGCCGCTGGCCGGCTCGTCCAGCTCCGCCGTCGCCGGGCCCTCCCGCAGCGAGCTCAGCAGCACGACCGCCACCAGGGCCAGCGCGACGTACCACGACGCGGCGTCCAATACGGACACGACGGCGGCCAGGGGTCTCCTTGCCGGTGATGCCATCCTCTCCTTTTCCTTGTTCTTGCGGTGGGGATGAGTTAGGACCGTAGGGAAGGTATTTATAGGGAGTAGAAGGTTTTAGAGAGAGGGGAGATATATGGGGCGGGAGGGGTTCGCGCGGGGGCCACACCAAGATGGGTCCCACACAGGAGTCGTGGCCGGAGAAGGGGTGATTTGGTGAAGTCTATTCTCCTAACTAGTGCTTGCTTTCGTGGGGTCAAACCAATGGGTGATGGATATGGAGGCAAGCGGGATGGATATGGAAACCATTATTCTGGAAAGGCATCTTGGATGGTGGATCAAAGAATCTTTGCCTCTATAGAGTTCGTGATAATATATGTGGGTGATGGGAGGATCCTGTTACTGCATGCCCCACACCTTCTTCTCTCCTCCTCCTCCTGCAAAAGGGAGTTTGTTTGTGGATCAAAGAATTAGGGTTTTATCTGCTTTGCAGATATCATATATATTCTAATGTTTAAAGCACAGTCGTTTATTTTCTATTATTATTAAATATAAATAAAATTAACTAAATATTGTTTTCTCTATAAGAGATAAGGTAAGTTTATTGGAAGACGATCGGTGACTTATTAAGTTTTAAAAATTAATAATGATAAATCATTATTCTAATTTTAGAATATGTGTGGTTCTTATTTTTTATTTCTGTATCACATCAATTTATTTTCATGTGAAAAGTAGAAGCATGTGATTCAATTTTAGAATTTGAAGGAATATTAATCATTTTCATATGCTGACATAAATGATTGTTGATCGTTCATCTTCTTCGATCGGAATGAATCGGCAACCCGTGAACCAAAAACAACAAAGTGGAGAGAAGCAGCAGCAGAGAAAACAGCTAAAATCTACCACCAAATAGTCACGCTTCACAGGAGATGATTGGAAGACAGATTGCTACCTAGAGTGGACATCACTTTCAATCACCAAGGCTTCAGCCTTCAGCCTTGGCGAGGCAGGCCGACTTACCCTCACACGCAACTGTTCCACTTTAGTGCATGTTACTGGTGCTGCTAATTCACTTTCCATGGTTCTTCCGACGTGGTAACTTGTCACCTCCATTAAGAGGAGAACTTCTCTCTATAAGGTAGTGAGAGAGAGAGAGAGAGAGAGAGAGAGAGATCATAAGATATCACATCATTGGTAAAAAAACATAGAGATGCAGTTAACTACATCAGTTTGATAGGGGATCTAATATGTATAGGAGAATTAGAATCTTTGGTAGGGGTAACACCATATATGATAAACTCTACAAGGTAGCATCTTGAATTGAAGCAGATCGGACAGTGCTGGTAACTGGAACAGGTGGAAGCTGGACAGCCACCGATGGAGGAGGGCAAGAACAATCGATGCTTGACTTGCAAAGTAAAAGGATGTCGACATCCATCGTCGCCATGATCAAGGGGTGCATGCATGAGTGCGCCCGACGCCGACGGCGTCGAACGCCACCCGCTCGTTCTGGCCATCGGATGCGAAGTGGGGGGAGGAATGGTGGAATGGGCGAAGTTGTGCTGTACAGCTGATGTGAAGTTGAGAGATTTGCGCACCAACATATACAAAAGACTTTCGGTGCGTAATGGAGTCATCATCACCGCACCACACCGTCGTGGCCCCATCCATTTGTTCCGCCTTTCGACCTCTGGCTTTTCATCGATCATCACGTGTGGCCTTTCCTGTTCATCTTTCCTTATTTATAATATGAGATTATTAATCCGTCATTTGGAACGAGGATAAGCCCTTTTAAGTTATAAACAACTAAGGCTTCATTAAAGTCATACGTATTATAATTATTCATTTGTTCAACCAAAAAAATTAAGACCCAAAGGATCGTCTCATATCGTCCTTAACTGAGAGTCAGAATATATATATATATATATATATATATATATATATATATACTATCAATTTATTGAAATATGTAAAATGCTTATTTAAAAGCAATTAAATAGAATGACATGTAGGATTTATCAGTACCGAAAAATCGAACTAATTTGTCCCAAAAATACATGCATCACTATGTAAATTACATACTTTTGAACCATTCATAGCTATGGGTCTTCCAACCGGTTTCAACCTAATCATTAAGGACCAAATTGAATTGAATCAATTTTTAATATCATTCAGTAGGGCCAAAGTAAGGAAGGGAACCAATTCAGGCCTATTTAATTAAATTAGTTCAAAATCAGTTGATCTGATTCAGTTAATGGTTTATAATTACTAATAAACTGGTTCGATTCGATTAAAATAAGGTAAGTTTAAACTGAAATTGTTCTATTTTAAAATCATTTAATCTGATTTGATTAATCGATTAATCGATTTATAATTTTAAATAATTTAAAAAATATATAATTTTAAATGAACTGATTTAGTTTAGTGAATTAATTGAATTGAATCAAAATCTTAATCCAATTTGATCGACACGATAAAATTTATAAAATTAGACTCGTGTCATTTGTAAAATTATAATATTAAAATTAGACTAACATCATTATTGTACACTTAGTTTGATCATTAATTTATAAAACCTAAATATCTAAAAAAATTATATAAAATCGATTTGATTCGATGGATTAATTGAATAAAAAAATCATAAATAAGAACTGTTTATATCCTGATTCAATTTTAGTTTCAGTTCGATTTCGTTTTATTTTTTTGGTTTGAACACCCCTACACATAGTTCTATCTCGTAGAATGTTAATAATGTGTGTGTGTGCTATGTGTGTCCATGTGCACGAGGAT